TACTCAGGAAACCTGTATTTCTCTGTGTTTTTATAGGAACCATCTCTCCTTTCATATCTTCTGCCCTGTCACTGCTTGTGGCCCAGATGTTTTCTCATTGGGTTGTTTGTTAAGAACCCCTGCTCTGGGGGTCCTTCCTCCCATCAGTGTCAATGTCCTCTAAACCAGTGGCACCCCCAAAGGATTGTGGCCTGGAAGGGAGCATTAAAGCTCTGGGTGGGAGGGCTAGTGGGGCCAGGGAGGTGTGGTGAGGCAGTGTAGTCTGAAGAAGCATATTTAATGGAAATGCCTGGAAAAAAAAAAAGATGCTGGTGGTTTTCATTGTGCAAAACTAGAGAACATTTGGTTTGACAAGTTCTCTTGGCTGTTTGGTTTTGGCTTAAGAGGGCTGGCAACATGAATTGGTGACACATTTTCACAGGGGCCAAGTGTCAAGCCCATCTAAGAATGAGAGGGAGTGCAGGCAAAGGGACTCATTGGTTCTGGATGTTTCCACTGGGCCATTTGTACAGTCATGCCTGGGTGTCTGGTGGGTTAACTCCTTGCAGGTGTCCTATTGCCTCCTCAGCTCACAGGATTAGAAACTGAGTTGTCAGCCTGCTGATGGCAAAGGGCCTTTGGGAACAATGTCATTTCAGACCACAGGGTGATTATTAATAATTGTTAATAGCGCTGGGCAGTTATCAGGGAGATGAACTACTGGTGTCAGAGGATCAGACAGCTGAGGACCCTGGCCGGTTAGGGAAGACTTGAGTCAGTATCCCCAGGTAAAATAGGTAATAGCACCTAACCCAGAGGTCATGGTAAGTCTGGGTAAGGTTATGCTCACAGTGTGCATGTGTGGTACCCATGCCCACACCTTTGTGGGTGGCCCTGTACATACCCCTAAGGCAGAAGGACCCAGGCAGGGCATCAGATCTGAGCCAGAGGGCCACTGAGAGCTGGATCTGGGCCCTCCCACCCTTCCTCAAGGGCTGGACCAGTCTGCAGGTGCCCCCTGAGTTTAGTGACCTCTAGGCTGTCCATGGGTCCCTGCTGGAGGTGGCCGTGTGGCCTTTCATGCTGAGGAGGGAAATGAGTCCTCGCTCGGTACCAGCTGTGCCCTACCCTGCCTCAGCTTGTTTCCTGCACGCATTGCATGACTGGGGGCTGAGCTTCTCCATGATCACTTAGGGTTGGGGAGCATTTCTGTCTCTTTGTGGTGAGTGAGCAGCTCCCCTAGCCTGTTGCTCTCTGTGGTCCCCTGCCTCCCATGATAGCTGCACCTGTTCAGAGTTGTACTAACTTCCAACACAGACTAGACAGAACTGAGTGCTAGGCTGGTCTTCCTGTAGATTTCATTTAATTTTCAAGGTAGCCCTGTGATGTGGATGGTGATATTCTCATCTACATGTCAGAAGCCAAGGCTAAGGAAGGGATGTGATTGGATCAAGGTCACAGAACAGATAGAAGTGGGCCCAGGATAAGACCCACTTGTGCAGAAAGGATTAACTTGACACCAGGAGAGGGGTAGTCTTTGCCCTAGGATTCTGGGTGGCTGGAGTGTCCTCCCGGAGTGTTTTTGTTTACTCAGAACCAGTCTATGGTAACATTATGGCTTATGGTAGGCGCTTTTGGCCATGTGGCATCTACTCAATCTGTGGGGAGGCTGGAGATCAAGGTCAGTCGTGCAGGTGGTCATGTGTGTCAGTGTCACCAAGCCCCAGGAAAAACTCTCAATGCTAAGGTTCAGGTGAGCCTCCCTTCTTGGCAATACCCCATGCACATTGTCACACATCAGTGCCAGGAAAGTAATACTGCCCATGACTTTGCAGAAGCTCAACATTTGGTATTTTTCCTGGATTCTATCCCTGTGCAATCCCTTGTCTGAATTTAATGTGTGTCTGTCACTTGTAATACACTGTGACCATGTGTATATCAGGTTTCAAGGGGAGTTCTAGGAGTCCTTGTAGCAAATTATTGAACTTGAGGGTGATCTTGCGAATCCCCAAATTTGTTATTGGTGTCAGAGGGGTGGGCAGTCTTGGGGACCCCTGTACTTCACATGCATTTCTTAGCTCAGGAACTTTTATGCATGAAACCAAGTGTTCCCCAAACTCACCCAGATGGGCCAGAGTAATGCTGTCCCCACCAACTGGTGATTTTTCCTCTGGGCAAACCCAACTCCTGGGAAAGATCCTCTTGGGCCTTTACTACTAGCCCCTCTACACAGAGTGGCCTGAGCTTCTCCAGCATGTCCTCCAGGAGTGCTCCTGCCTCCCTTAGGGCCACCTCTGGACTGCCCGGCCTCAGCCAAGCTGGGTCTTGGTGTGCAGTCAGCTTCCTGCAGAGAAGTGATGGATCACGCAATTATGCCCCCACACTTGACCAGGTTGTCATCAATGCACAAACACACCCATCTCAATATACCTTCATAGCTCTATATTACAGGATAATCTTTCCTAATTGATCAGGAAGAGGGGACATGGTTTTGTTTGAAATTGGTGTGCTTTAGCCTTTTTCAAGCTTTCCCCATTGTATTTCCCCTTATTGGGAACAGCTGGCTCATGCCCTCTGCCCACTGATTTGTAGTTGATCCTTATGCCAAAATTACTGATCTTCCTTCACCCACAAGTAGGTGTTCTAGTCATTTCTTTTTTTATTGGAAAATATGTCTGATTATACACAGTACACAGAAATAAAGTTCCCGGTGTTTTCTAAGTAACAGAAAACTTGAGAACTGTTAAATTCTTGGTAGCAGTAAGGAGAAATAAGATAAAAATTTAAATGCATAAAATGGAAAAACTTCTACATAAAAGTAAAAAAAATCCAAAGTAAGTGTGGAATACTGTTAACCAGTCAGAGGTGGGAGGTAATGGCGATTAACAGGGTGAAAGGACCCCAAAGTCATTCTGGTGCCTGATACCACTTCCAAAAAAGGGAGACTGACCATATGTTCTGGCAGGTTATATACTACCTCCTGGTCCTTGGAGAGGTGAGTGGCAAAAATGCATGGCCCAGGCATCCTCCCCAGGGAGAAGGGCACTGAAGCCACCTCCCAGCTGCAGAGACACTTGAGCCTTATACTCACCAGTGGGTCAATGGCGGCTGATAGCAAGCAAAGGCAGAATATGAAGTTCACTTAAGAAGGTAAAAAAGCCAACTATACATTTTGGTCCCCCTGAAAACCCTAGATTATTTGGATTTAGTGATCCAGAACGATCCGTACTGTGTAATTTATGTTGTCCTGTGATACACAGCATCTTCCCAAACAAGTATTTCTGTACATTGTATTTAACTGAACTCCTGTTCTCATCTTGACTGGAATATGCCTATTTCTTATTCTAACTCTTCCACATGATTAGGAATTGTACCCCGGGTAGTGGTGGGCTCTGAGGGGCAGCCACTGAGTCAGATGCCAGCTAGGAACTCAACCAGCACGGGGCGGAAGCTTCCCTCTGTGGGAATTTATGAGCTAGCACCTCACTGGTCTCAGCTCCTAAGTAATGCTTCTGTGAACTCTACTGATTTGGAGTTTCATCTTAGTGATTTCAGCTACTGTCTGCAGTAACATCTGAGGGACTTCAGCTTCCCTGAAGTGACACTATTGCTCTCTCCTCTGAAGTAACCACCCAGTGATCAGCTCCTCTGAATTGCCCCATGACCTCAGACTCCACTACAGTCTCTCCTTGGGGGTTTCAGCCATCTCTGAAGAAACACCCGTGTGATCTCCACTCCAGTGAAGGGACACCTCAGTGAGCTCATCTCCTAACATACGCCTTAGTGACCCCAACTGCTCTGCAGTACATGTTAGTGACATCAGTCCCTTTCAGAAGGAGCCTATCTCCTTGCTGAGGTAACACCAGCTACTTCAACTTCCAGAGTTTCACCTGTGATGTTATCTTCTCAGCAGTATCACAGCGAGGGGAAAAGGAGCTTTTATCAGTGTCAGTGTGTTGCCGTGCCCTCGAGGATCAACTCTAGTCCTTCATTTCTCCTGAGAAGCTTGAGAGAGAGAGAGAACTTAAAAATTATGAATAAAATAGATTCATTTTAGTATATGATAATGTATATCAGAGTCTTCTTGGCATGTAAAAAAATAAAAACCTCAAACACAGGAATGAAAATTTTAGATCATAAAAAATATGTATCAAAGAACGGTCTTTTCAGTAAAACTTTTTTGGGAAACACCACAATGTGTAAAGAGGCACCCAGCTGGTGTAGCAGCTATAAGGTCTGGGCTCTGAGGGCAAAGCTCCCTTCCTACCCACATGGGGTCCAGAGACCCAAGACATCCTATGAGTTCCAGAGCGTAAGGTCTGTAAGTCATAAGGGTGGGTTTTGAGGCAAACATCCATTTTTGAGTTGAATTTTCACTAAAAAGTTAGGACATCCCTTCTCATCTTGAATAAAGTTCAAACACCAGATGAAGTGTTTTCTCACTAATATTTAGACTTTTTCTTTTTTTCATACAAAACAAGTGGTTCCACACACTTAGCATTTCTAGCCATATTACATTATGATACTTGATGACAATCTTTTTTTATATCATTTTATCCACACACTTTAGTGTTTTCACAGAATACTGCACATAATCCAATTCTAATTTTAGAGGGAATAATTAGAATAGTTACTGTTTTTAGGAAAGGCATGTAATATTCTAAGCAAAATCTTTATTTAGAATGTAAGAAAGTTTCATTGTGATAGTAATCCTTATGTCTTCAATTCCTTCAGTTTCTTCCAATAAACTTTCTAATGTTAAAGAATTATGGGTGTCTTTACCAAAATTTACCATAGTTGTGTCATTTACTCTTCAATATAACTTCAAGATGTGGAGAAAAACAAAACAGGCATGCTCTGTCATTCTTCCATAGGAACATGCTCAGTGCTTCTCTTTGGAGTTACTTGTGACACTAAATGACCAAACAATGGCATCCCACGGAGCTACCAGAACCTTCTCCTGGACTGGGGGGGCGGGGGGGTGGGGTGGGGGAGGGGAGTTTTCCTAGTGGCAGAGGAGGTCACAGCTTCCTGTGCACCTTCTGGTGCTGGATCAGGTGACCGTGCTGGTTGAAGGCGCGCCCGCACTCCCCGCACTCGTAGGGCCTCTCGCCCGTGTGGATCCTCTGGTGCTGGATGAGCACAGAGTACTGGCTGAAGGCCTTGCCGCAGCGGCTGCACTCGTAGGGCCGCTCCCCAGTGTGGGTCCGCAGGTGCACGATCAGTGTTGCTTTTAGGCTGAAGGCCTTGCCACACTGTGCACAGCGGAAGGGCCTCTCGCCTGTGTGGATCCTCTCGTGCTGGACCAGAGACCTGCGGGCGCTGAAGGCGTGTCCACACTCACCGCACACGTAGGGCTTCTCCCCGGTGTGCACCCGCTGGTGCTGGGTCAGGTGAGAGTGCTGCACGAAGGCCTTCCCGCACGCATAGCACCCGTAGGGCTTCTCCTCTGTGTGGATGCGCTCGTGGTTCATCAGTGTGGAGCGGTGGCTGAAGGCCTTCCCACACTCGCCGCACTCATAGGGCTTCTCCCCAGTGTGCACGTTGTGGTGCTGGATGAGGACGGAGCGGTCGCTGAAGGCCCGGCCGCACTCACTGCAGGTGTAGGGCTTCTCCCCGGTGTGCACCCGCTGGTGCTGGAGGAGCGTCCTCTTCACGCTGAAGGCACGGCCGCACTGTGCGCACTCGTGTGGCTTCTCCCCGGTGTGCACCCGCTGGTGGCTGCGCAGGACGGTGCTGTGGTTGAACGCCTTCCCGCACAGTGGGCACACGTAGGGTCTTTCTCCCGTGTGGATCCGCTGGTGCTGAATAAGATGCGAGAGCTGAGTGAATGACTTCCGACACTCAAGACACTCATGTGGCTTCTCTCCCGTGTGTATCTTGTGATGCTGAGCAAGATCTGAGCTCACTCGAAAGGCCTTTCCACATTCGTTACACTCGTAGGGCTTCTCGCCGGTGTGGATTCTCCTATGTTTACTGAGGACAGAGCTCTGGCTGAAGGCCTTCCCACACACACCACACACATAGGGCTTCTCTCCAGTGTGTGTTCTCTGATGCTGGAGGAGATGGGAGCTCCGACCAAAGCATTTCCCACACTCGGTGCACTTGTAGGGTCTCTCCCCACTAGGAACAGCCTGATTCTGAGAGAGAGGCACACTCTGGCTCAAGACCTGAACTTCAGGTGGGCCAACAGGGCTTGGACTCACACAGAAACTCTGCTCAGGTTCATAACTTTTTTGATCAATCCATCCTTTGGGTGCTTTCCCCAGGATCACCGATATTTCCTCTGAAATAAATGGCTTCCGACTCACGTCCCTATTTTGGTTCTCTCCCTTGTTTTCGTATTCTGAAACAACAAAACCAAAGTAAAAATGTTAACTCAAATGTCAACCCACTCAAAACAGCAGAGCAAAGTGCAACCTGAAGGTGTTTAGCTGACAACAGGTGGCCATCAGGGGTGCGGTCCCTGAACGCACATGGCTACACATTTTCTGCAGTGCAGAAAAATCACAACTGTGTCCAATAATTAGAAATGTGCCCAGGCTCACAGGGCAGTTTAAGGGACAGGTGTGACCTGTAGTCTTGAGTCATCCCCCGCCCCCCACCGCGTGAAGTGCACGTGTCACACAGCAGCAGGGCTACAGCCCATTACCACCTGAGTCCCGCCTTCCTTGGAGTCCTTGTGGTAGGAATACACGTAGGACCCCACCCATGACTGCAAGGAGCTTTGTGGGGCTGACAGCAACACAGGAACAGAGAAGCCTAGTGTCAGGCTGGTAGATGTGTGAACTCTTGTGTGCATGTCCGACAGACACAGGACCAGAAGACTTATACATGGGGGACTGTGACCTCTTCTTTGTGGAGAAGGCACTGGGGGGCAAGATGAAACCATGACACAATGGGAGTTTTGCCATGTCTAGGCTGGAGAGGAGTCCTGTAGGGCAGCAGTGAGCATTGCAGAGAAGACTAGGGTAGAGGTTTTTAGTACCAGGTTGGGGGATCTACAGGATGTGCTGATAACTTTTTTTAAAAAATTTTTTAACATCTATTTATTTTTGAGAGACAGAGCATGAGCAGGGGAGGGGCAGAGAAGGAGACACAGAATCCAAAGCAGGCTCCAGGATACGAGCAGGCGTTCAGCACAGAGCCCGATGTGGGGCTCAAACCCACAAAGCATGAGATCATGACCTGAGCTGAAGTTGGACACTTAACTGACTGAGCCACCCAGGCACCCCAATTTTTTTTAAGAAAGCTCTATGCCTAATGTGGGGCTTCAACTCACTACCCAAGACCAAGGACTACATGCTCTACCGACTAAGCCAGCCAGGTGCCCCTGAGAACAGGTTTCTTAAATCTTGGAAACCAAACCGTTGAGATGACAAGATGCCACTCAAAGACCAAAACTTCTCAGGGGTGTACAGGGATGCTGTGGGAGGATGGGCTGCGCTCATGGAGTGATCTTCATCAAGGACGCTCAACAGGGTGTCAGGCCCATAAGCAAGAGCTGACTCTGCATGAGAGCAGCCAGGCCTCCTTGTGGACTCTCAAGTGCCCAATCCAATTTCAACCCTGCAGTTTAGGCCAGCTCCTCACACCATGCTGCCACCCCAGCTTCCCAAAGACCTCTGCCAGGAACAGCGTTAAAGACTGCTGCACTTGAATGGAATTTCAGAGTAAGAATCCCTCTGGGCAGGGGAAGATCTGAGGGAATTCTCTCTCTCAAAGGCGTACTCAAGGTCTATGACAGGTACTGGCGGGGGGGGGGGGGGGGGGGCAGCCTTGAGGGGAAATTTACAAATGCCAACCTAGCTGTACCCAGAGATCCTGAGCTAGGATGGCATCCAAGTGTGCATATGAACTGCTTCTTGGCTCTCCCTTCTCTCCAGGGGAGGTGGAGTAACTTTTTTACTGGTTCATGTGGGTAAGAACTGGGTATTCTCAGCTTAGGGAACCATATTTTGCAATGTTCCTTCAGGTTCAAAGACCTACAGAGGTAGTAGTGCTACCTGAATCTGGTGGCAAGTATGCTTCATTCTGGGGTTCTTTACCAGAAATGATGTGGACCAGCAATGATTTTCCAATTGTGTCCTATCTGTAATAAGGATATTTTCAAGTCCAATAAGCCCCCCACCTTGCTGGTAACAGCATTACTGAGATATAAGCTTCACTTTTTAGTAAGTTCCTAACTTGGTCTGGGAAGACATATGCTATATAGTGGGTCACCTGGTACCCCAAGCCAAGGGACCTTCTAAAACGACTTCTGACTGATGTTTAGAAAAAGATTTGGGCCAAGGTGGCCCATAAATTAAATATGCTTGGGGTGCCTGGGTGGCTCAACTGGTTAAGCGTCAAACTCTTGATTTCGGCTCAGGTTGCTATTTCATGATCATGAGATCAAGTCCCATGTCAGGCTCTGCGCTGGGCATGGAGTCTGCTTAAGATTCTGTCTCCCTCTTCCTCTGCCTCTCCCCTGCTCATGCGGTCTCTCTCTCTCTCTCAAAAATAAATAAACTTACAAAAAAAATTAGGACTACAAGAAATTAAATAAATAAAATACACTTGTTTTGCCTTTTGACAGACAAGGAATGGTTACCTTGGAGGGACAAAGACATACCAAATGTTAATACTTCTTGTAGAAGTTGGTAGCAGCCAGACTGAAGCAAACCCTCAGCAGAGGGTCATCTGAGAAGAGGCAGGAGTGGGAAGTTGGGAGATTCCCAAGTGTGAGGGGCCTTGTAGAGGCTGGGGTCCCACTCCAGGCTAGATTAACCTGCTCTCCACACCCACCCCAGATTCAGCAGCATTCTGGACACAGATACTCGGAGTTCTTCACCTTGACACGGGGGCTCATGTCCATGGTCTTCCCCCTAGGGGCTAGATCCAGAGGAAGCCTCCTTTGGTGGCTCAGGACTGCAAGAGGAGAGCACAAGCACCCACCTGAACCCTTCTCCTCGACAGAATGAAAGCTGCAAGTCACCGGGCAAAGGAAAGCAAACTTCTCATTCTAGGGCACAGACAAACATCCCAATGGCTGGGAAGGGAAAACTACCCTTTACTCCTGAGGGAGGGGCAGGAAAATGATCACGAGCCCAGACATTGAGAAGTCTGCTTCAACTAGGGGAAGGGCTGTGACCCAAGAATACAACACCTGCCTAAAACTGAGGATGATCAGAACAGTGGAGCACGCGGTCATCTCCTCCTGCTCCTATCGAAAAGGCCAGCAAGCGCCGAGTAACAAGCAACAGAAGACTTCTGCTGGGGGTGGGGGGTGCTGGTGGCCAGAGCACAGAGGAAAACCCTCTCTCGCAGGCACACCTGGAAGACTGAAAGTCCCCACCCTATGCACACGGAAATGCCAGAAGAACGGGAGTCCAGTGGTATACTGAGGGCAACTATGGGAACAGAACCCAGCCAAACTCCTGACTCAGGCTTTCACACTAACCGCCTAGTAGGAGGGGCTATGTTCCCAGACAGATAGACTATTTACTTCTGTATCTCCTGTCTTAATTAGTGATAGCTGACATTCAATAAAATATAAGACACCCAAGAGAAAGGAAAAAGACTGCTTGTGTGTACACACACACAGAGTCAAGAGACTAAGTGACCAACAGGACCAGAATTAGAGATGACCCATACGTTGAACAATGTGAATGATCAGATGGGGAACCTCAGCAGATAGATTCTGTAAGAAAGGACTGGAAATGCTAGATGTAGAAAATATAGCAACATATGAACGCCTCTGATAGGCTCATTGCAGACTCAACCCAGATGAGGAAAAGACCAGTGGGCTTGAAAATAGGTCAACAGAAATTACCCAAAAAGAAACACAAAGACAAAAATGTAGGAAACATAAAAATAAAATTGATATGGATCAATATCAAATGGCCTCACCTGCATGTAGTTGGAATTGCAGAAGAGAAAGAGAACAGGGAAGTAAAAATATCTGAAAAGAAAATGGCTGAGATTTTCCTAAAAATAACGGAAGACATCATAACACAGATTCAAGATATTAGTGTCACACATTTTGTTTTGTCTTTAATATGAGAGAGAGAGAGGGGGCGCAAGTGCAAGTGGGGGAGACAGGTAGGGGGAGGAGAAGAGAGAGAAAGAAAATCTTAAGCAGGCTCCATGCTGCCATGGGGCTCAATTCCCAAGCCCTGGGATCATGACCTGAGCCGCAATCAAGAGTGGAATGCTCAATCAACTCTGCCACCCAGGCGCCCTACAAACATGTTTTTAAAATACCAACTAGAGGGGCGCCTGGGTGGCTCAGTCAGTTGAGCATATGACTTCGCCTCAGGTCATGATCTCACAGGTCCGTAAGTTTGAGCCCCACATCAGGCTTTGTACTGACAGCTCAGAGCCTGGAGCCTGCTTTGGATTCTGTGTCTCCCTCTCTTTCTGCCCCTCTCCCGCTCATGCTCTGTCTCTGTCTCCCTCAAAAATAGCATTAAAAAAAAAGAAAAAGAAAAAAACCTGACTAGATACATCATATTCAAACTGCCAAAAACCAAAGAGAACATCTTAGAGGTAGAGGAAAAACACATACAACGCAGAGGAACAAATGTAAGAATTACAGTAGACTCCTCATCAGAAACAAGTCCGAAAACAATGGACTGACACCCTTGAAGGGCAGAAAAAGAAAAAACAAGTCAATTTACAAACACCAATGGAGAGAACATCCAACAATCAAATCCAAACTAATGTTACAGGGAATTCTTCAGGCTGCAGAAATATACCCGACAAAGCTGGATTTATACAAGAAATGAAGGCTTTTGGAAATGGTTAAAATGAAGGTAAATATAAAAGACTATGTAAAACGGTTTTCTAAATCACTCTAAGAGAATTGTCCAAAGCAAAAATGATCACACACTAGAGCACCTGGCTGGCTCAGTTGGAAGAGCATGGGACTCTTACTCGTGGGGTCATGACTTCAAGCACCACGTTGAGTGTAGAGATTACTTAAATAAACCTGAAAAAAATAGTTGTAATGGAGCAAATGTTTGTGTCTCTCCCCGCAAATTCACATGTTGAAGCCCTAACCCCCAATGTGATGGTATTTGGTGGTGGGGACTTTGGGAGGTAATTGAGAGTTAGATGAGGTCACAAGGGTGGAGCCCCCATGATGGCATCACTGCCCTCTAAGAAAAGACCTCAGTGAGCTTACTCACTTTCCCCCCACAGGCACACAGAGGCCACGTGAACACACAGAAAGTGGCCATACTGCAAGCCAGGAATAGAGCCCTCACCAAATTCTCACTTTTTTTTTTTTTTTTTTTAATTTTTTTAGCGTTTATTTATTTTGGAGACAGAGAGAGACAGAGCATGAACGGGGGAGGGTCAGAGAGAGAGGGAGACACAGAATCGGAAACAGGCTCCAGGCTCTGAGCAGTCAGCACAGAGCCCGATGCGGGGCTCGAACTCACGGACCGCAAGATCATGACCGGAGCCGAAGTCGGATGCCCAACCGACTGAGCCACCCAGGCGCCCCCAGCTTCTTAGCTTTAACACTTCCTTTGATTATGATATAGCTTAGTGATTTTATTCGTTTATTATGTAAGGGGTTCATTGGAGTTTCTTAGATCTGTGAGTTTATGGTTTTCATCACATTTGGAAAGTTTTCAACCATCATTTCCTAGAATATTTTTTCTGATGCTCCCACCTCTGCTTTATTGGCTTCAGCTAGATATATTAGGCAATTTCAGATTGTCCCACAGCTCACTAATGTCCTGTGGTCTTTTTTTCCTTCCTTTTCCTTTTCAGCAGTTTCTAGGATTTTTTTCACTAATCCTTTCTTATGCAATATCTAACCTGTCACTAATTTTACCCAGTAAACTCTTCATCTCATGCATTGTTTTCATCTCTAGAGATCAGAACTGGGCCTTTCATGTATCTTCCAAGACTCTACTTAACATGCTGAATATTCCCTCTAGTCCTTGAACATACAGAATAAATTTATTTTGTTTTCATTTCCTGGTCTTCCAAATCTTTTTATTTTTTTAATATTTATTTTTGAGAAGACAGCACGTGAGCAGGGGAGGGGCAGAGAGAAAGAGAGAGAGAGAGAGAGAGAGAGAGAGAGAAAGATATAGAAACCAAAGTAGGCTCCAGGCTCTGAGCTGTTAGCACACAGCCCAAAGCGGGGCTCAAACTCACTGACCATGGGATCATGACCTGAGTCTAAGTCAGATGCCTAACAGACTGAGCCACCCAGGCACTCCTCCTGGTCTTCCAATTCTATCACTGATGTCACTTCTGGTCCGTTTAACAGGACTGTTTTTTCTTCTAATTATGGTTGTTTTCTTACTTCTTTGAATGCTTGATAACTTTTTATTAATGCCAGATATTATGGATTTTACCTTGCTTCATGTTGGATATTTTTTATTTCTAGAAATTGTCTCGAACTTAAGTATTCTTGGTTAAGTTACTTGGAAGTAGCATGTATGGTTCTTGCCTTTGATCTTTGTTAGACCAGAACAGAATAGTGCTTAGGGCTCTTTCACCAGCCCTCCCCC